AAAGTTTATAAAAAATAAAAAATTTAAAATTTTTTAAAATTTATTGTTTAAAATCTTTTTAAAGTTAAAAAAATTAAAAAATAGAGGTTTTTTAAAAAAATTTAATTTTATGAAATATAAATAATATCAAAAAATTAAAACACTTACAAATTTTACCAAATATACTTTAATTTTTGTTACTTTAATTTTCTAGTTGTACCTAACTTATGGGTGGATGAAAGTGGGATTATTTGTCATTGACTTGATCAAAGTGTAAGAGTTTTAAATTTTACTATTTTATTTTTAAAAAATTATAGTTATTTAAAATTTTTTTTTATAAATTTTATAATTTTTATTATTTTTAAAAAATGTAAATTTAATTAAAATAAATATTAAATATATTAAATATATTTTATATATTTTTAAAATATTAATAAATTAAAAAATTTACAATAATAGTTACAAGTCCAATATTGTCAAACTGATTCGTAATCTATCATTCAAGATAAATTTAAAGTTGAAGATATTTTAACTATTAAATTTGTTAAACTCACTAATTTAATTATAATTTTATTAATCTATAATTTTTCCATGGCACTAAGAAATATTTTTTTATAAATTAATTTTAATTTTTTAAATAATAAATATTGATTATTAATCTTTTTTAATAATTAAATATTTTTTAATACTAATATCGGTGAGCACTACCGTAATTTAAATTTTATTTGACAATTAAGTACCGAAATCTTCTTTCTCTTTTCTTTGACATTCGGGGACGAGGGGTTTTCGAACACGTGAATAATGTGTACCTTAAGAGCTAAATCAATTTCAATGATGGTTGTTATTAGGGTGATTAAATTTTAAACTTTTATTTTAATTTAATTATTAATAATAGTTAATAATTAATAAAATAATAGTATTTATTACTTAATAAATTAAAAGTAATTTATAAATAGATTTTTTAAAATATCATAACTAATTTTTTTTTAAAAAAAATTATAAATAAAATTAGTTACTCTAACAAAATTATTAGTGAAGAGTGACTATATCCTGAACTAATTTCTATCAATAAATGTTTAGGGAGTACAGCTAAATTCAATGATAAAACACAACAAAAATTATAGTCATAGTTAAAAGTGTTATGATCATACCATTTTTTTATATTTTGTCTTTCAAAATGCTCACTTAGTTTAATTAATTTCGTTATTAAAAATTGTTAAAAATTATAATTGTTAATCGATAAATAAAAAATTGTTATTATTTATTATTTAATA